AGATGCATATTTTTAATTTCTTTTTATTTTTTTTTTGCCTAATTATTCTGGCTAGGACTTCCAGTACTATGTAGAATAGAAAGGGCAAGTGTGGGCACCCTCGTCTTACTCTTGCTTAATCTTAGAGGAAAAGCCTTCACTTCACCACTGAGCGTGATATTAGCTTTGGACTTGTTGAGTGTAACCTTTATCGGTGCCTACCTTTTTTTCAGTGTAACTCTCCCTACTTGAAGAAGGCCAGAGACCTCATTATATTGGTCTTTTTGAATTTGCATTAGATAGAATTTCAAGAAAGAAAATAAGCCAGAACCAGTGGGATTAGAATCTATAGCTGCGGGCTAAGAAATTAGCCAAGTGGAAAGGGCTCAATTTCTCGTGTTCCTCTCTATCAGCAATCTACTACTAACTTCAGTTTGCAGAATTTTGTGAGTTTTAAAGAAATGTGTTCCTCTTAATTTAAAAATAATAAGAAATCATATGTAATTTGGCACATCCTAAAAATATAAGGGATGAAAGAAAAATCACTCATAATTCTACTACTGTTATTTAATTCAGTTAATAGTTTGAAGTGCATCATTCTAATCATACACATAACTTTTTTTGTGTGTGTGTGTGCATGTACTAAGCACATACTCTACCACTGAGCCACACCCCAACCCACATAGTTTTATCTACAAACTTGGGCTCTTAATTATTTTGAAATGATTTTGTTTTCTTTTCTTGTTTTGTCATAGAAATTGATTTTTTGGGAATCACATCTATAGTATTCCTGATCAGCTTCTTCATTTTTTTTTTTCTGTGCTAGGGATTGAGCCCAAAGTCTCCCACATGCTAGATAAGCCCTCTGTCAGTGAGCTACATTCCCAACCCCATGATCAACTTCAAAATAATTTTATTTTCATATACTATTTCACTCTTAGACTATTTCATAGCCTAAGGTTTTGTTTCCCCTTGAGTGTTTTAAACTAATCCTCTGTTGTTGGATATTGATATCATTTGTTTATATTCTCTTTCCTACTATAAAACTTGCAGTGAATATCATTTAAACAAAATTTTTGTGCATACCCATGATTGATTGTTTGAGATACATTTCTTTTATAACAGGAGCTTTAAATAAAACATATAAACTTTGTAAAAGTCTTTTATGATATTGATTGCAAATCTTCCCCTTACTTTCACATCTCTAAAAAGCTATTTCAATTTATACTCTTTTCACCCATGTGATGTTTTTTACTCTTTTTTTTTTTTTAAAAAAAAAAACACAGTTGTTGGTTCTCCTCTTTATAAATAATTGTCTTTTAATTGAACATTTTTCTTTCTGATTTTCTCTTCTTTTTTTCCCCAACTTTCTCTCTCCTTGCCTTTGCACTCCTTCATCAATTTATATTCCTTAAGTTTAAAATGATCATTTTTTAAGCTTAATTTTTATTCTGCCTTGCACATTTTGCTGGAGACAGTTTACAGAATCCTTATGAAAGATATCATGATTACACAAATATTGTGAACTCACTTAAAAGCGATTAATATTGTTGAAAGAAGAAAAAATGTTTATTAAGCACTTGAGTATCCATACCATGCTGAGGACCCTGGAAGATACCTGAGAAGGGCAAGGCATGGTCCCAGGGGCCTCACATTCTTAGTTGGGGAAATACAACCAATCTTTAATCTCGAATTAGTCATTTCTCTAATCATACTCTAAGAATTGTGCTTCTCAATCTTTTTAGATCCATACCTATGAAAATACTTGCTCATTATCCTCTGTGCTTTACCCCTCTCACCAGCCAAGAAGATTTTGCCTGGTTTTCTTTTCTCTATTACAAATTACAGAATTAGATCCATTGAACATCCTCTTTCAAATTACCTGGACACCTAGGAACTTCCTGTTCTGATGTGCCTTCTTGTCCCCAGTGGAGAATTACTTCCTTAGAGAATCATCCAAAGCAAGACTCCATGAAATTGACTCTAAGAAGCTGAATATGGGCAGTTTCCAGGGCAGGCCTGTTTTGATGAGCCCAGTTATCTGTGCCTCTTTTGCTCTTCTCTGGGCACCCTTGTCCTACTGTATCCCTGTAGTGAGTCAGCCTGCCCCAGCTTGGCTCCTCCACATCAGCACATGCTCACACCAGCAAGCCTGCTCTCACCTTCCCTTTATAATAACCACCCTACTCCCTGATCCCAAACATCTTTCTTGAAGTTGGGGTTCTGCCTTGAATCCCAATAGTTGTCTTTCTTGCTCTATCCCTCACTCTTTCAGTTCCTTTGTTTCTTCTTGTCATCCACTCTCATCACTGACTTGATGGCCTAACCCTTTCCTCCCTGGAATTAGGTCCCTTAATTTCTACTGACCCAGTATACAACACAGTGCCTGGTCGAACACATTGTGCATAACAAGTATTTGTTGAATGGCTGAATGAATTGGAAATATTCTCTTGTTTTAATTTAAATATGTCTTGGGCATAACTGAGGTATATTAACATAATACTAATATGTCTTTCTTCTTTCCTTCCTGCCCTAGAATTCTTATTTTTGTTTTCCCATCATTCTGTGTCAAGTTCTGTACTAAAGTTTGCACGTTATTTTTGATTTTCACAACAATATTTCAAGACATCTGTTGCCATCTTCATTTCGTATATGAGGAAGCTAAGGGTCTACAGGTTCACTGGTTCCTCCAAAGTCATTCAGTGAATCAGTGGTGGGCTTCATTTCTTCATGGACCCACTCTAGGAATCACTAACCCCTGAACTCATTCTCGAGTTCCAGGGACTTGCTCCTCTGTCCTTCCCATGACCCTGATCTTATCCTGATTGATCACCATCCTCTTTGTCTGAATCCCAGTTGTGACCTGTGGAGTTGTGAGGGAAGGAAAAGGCTGAGAGGTCTTGATAAGGACCTTTACCAGAGAGATTGAAGCCAAGAACTGGGGGAAGGGGAAGAGCCAAAGGTTCGTCCACATTTTCAAACTGAGAGAGGGCAAGAGTGATGTTAGCACCCAAAGAAATGGGTAGTAGAGAAGTCTTGCTCTTGGATTGTTAAGTCAGGCTTGAATTTCAGTGACTATTCACTGGGTAACTGTTATGATTTGGTATGAGGTGTCCCCCAAGAGCTCGTGTGTTAATACAGGACTATTGAGAGGTAAAATTATTAGATTGAAAGCTGTAACCTGATCAATTTGAATGGTCTGACTGGGGTAACTGTAGGCAGGTGGGTATGGCTGGAGGAGGTAGGTCCCTGGGGGCGTGCCCTAGGAGGGTGCATCTTCCTTGTGGCCCCTTCCCACCTCTCTCTCTCTACTTCCTTGCTGCCTTGAGAAGACAGCTCTCTCTGCTACGCCCTTCCCCCATGATGTTCTGCCTCACCTTGGGCCCAGAGCAATGGAGTCTGCCGCATATAGAATGAGACCTCTGATTCCAGGAGTTGAAATAAATTTTTCCTCTTTTCAGTTGTTCTTGTCAGGTATTTAATCACAGCAATGAAAAACTGTGGATGAATCTCTTAGCTTCTCTCAGCCTCAGTTTCTTTTCCCTGAGCATAGTCTTATCTGATTCTCATGCTTGTCGGTTTGCTGGTCAAATGATGCGATATACCTGACGTGCTTTGTAAGGTACAAAGCCATATACACGAGTCAGCTGCCGTAAGTAGTGTCAGATGTGTTATTACTGGAGTCACATTGTAAATAGAGATGCCAGATTCTTCAGTTGAGTATATCTATGCCAGGGCCAGCAAATGATGATCCATGGGCAACTCTAGCTTGTCTACTGTTTTATATGGTTGGTGAGCAAAGAGAGCTTTTTACATTTTAATATGGTTGAGAAAAACCAAAGAAAAATGTTCATGACAGATAAAAATTACATGAAATTTGAATTTCATTATCTATAAATAAAGTTTACTGGAACATAGCCAGACCCATTTATTTATATAACATCTATGTCTGCTTTCATACTACAGCAACAGAACTGAGTAGTTGTGACAGACGATATGCACATAAAACCTAAGGTATTTACTATCTGGTTCTATAAGGAAAGGTCCCAGAGATGAAAGAAAGTTCAAGGAAATCTGAAAAAATTTTAAACTAAATTCTCTTTCTTGATAATAAAGGTAAAAATGAAGATGTGTTTGTCTTTTTCCTCTTTTTTGATGCTTTAAAAATGAATCCTCACTAATAAAAATATTTCAAAAAATGAATATTTATTCAGTGTTGGAACATTATTTTAATATTGAAGGCAATTAAGTTTAAAAGGTTTCCACCTCAAACCACCCTTAACATGGCTGTTTCAACACGTCTTTATTTTGATCGGTGCTTCTTTCTACTCTTGGCATATTTTGTAATTATGATCCATATCGTAATTATGATCTATGAATAATTTCATAGTTGATGCAGCCCTTTCCAGTTGGATTTTATAAATATTACTTGATTATTCTTCTTCTTAGTCATAGTGGTTATGTTGCTATAGCATGGTACAGTTCACAAGCTGCATGTGTTTCAGAAATACTTCTTGTTCTTGCCTTTGATCAGATTCTTGCATCTTCAACTGCAACTGCAGTTTTGACTCTTTGGAGCCACAGCCAGGCCACCCTGGTTGCCCCATATCTTCTGTTCTCTGACATTGATCCAAGTGCCACATTATCGTAGAGCTTAAAAACAAAGAAAGATAAGAAATAAGGCTAAAGGAAAATTGTCAGAGAAAAAAGTGAATGTGATACTGTAAAGGTGACTTCCTTTCTCTTTCTCCAGACATCCCCAAACTCAAAGTAGTCATTAATATTAGAAAAACTATTTAGCAAGCAAAAATCATTGTTCACTTAGTAATGACTGAAGGGTTGTTTTCTCTGCTGTATTTCTGAATAAGTAGGCATAAAAATAAGACCATTATTGTCATTATGTTACTATTGTTGACATATTGTATTTTAGACCCCAAATCCCTTCAGTGTGTCCAATTAACTGAATACTATGAAATCTAAGTAAAAGACAGTAACATTTTATTCTCTTATTTTTTTCCTAGTGAGAAGCTGGATGGAGAAACTAAAAGATAAGGTAAGAAAAATCTCTTCTTTCTTTGGACTTATCTTGAAGGGCACAAGGTTTTGTGAAACAAAAGATCTGAGAGCTTCCTTATTTGATTCCAGAGATACAAGGCCTCCTCCAGGTGCCCAGCAGGAAAGACCCTTCCTTCAATTTCCTTCCTGTAGAACCCAGGAGACACCTTAGTCTTTGAAGGTGGCTTTATAAGGGATAAGAATATACCTTAGTTTGTATGTTCAGCTGAAAAATATTCTTGACATATCCAGGTAGAGTTTCTTCTAGGGAGTTTCAGCAGTGTAATCCAATTCGGTTTGGCCTTTACTGTCCCAGTGTGACGTGACAAGAATCTACACTGTGTGTGTAGTTTATTATAGTGCTGCTCCTCATCAAGTGTTAATAAGCTGACCTGTCTGGATGGCCAACTATGGAAAAATATTTTCCTATCTTGTATCAATTCTGCTGACATGGAGATTGACAATATTAACTTCTTTCCAGGTTCATATTTTCATTTTCTTTTGATTTTCAATGCTCTCCAAGTTTTCACTTTTGATTACTTCTTAATTTTAAACTGGAATTGCTCATAAAAATATTGATAGAGTTTTGAATTCCTTGGTGTAGCCTCTGTCAGATTCTATTATCATAGCCTAGCTCAGACTTAACTGGGGGTTTTGGTTAAATGGAAATCTTTACAATATCAGATATTGAGTTACCTCCAGTTCTCTAGTCTCAATATATTTTCATTTGTGGCATTTCATATATTTGGATCATTTTCCCATATTTAAATTATACTATTTATTTTGCTATACTCAATGTTAAAGGAGAAAAAATATTCAGTTGCGATTAAAATGATATAACTAGGTTAATTCTCACTATTATGTTTCTGTTTTTCAGTATAATTTACATATACATAGCTGAGACTGTTACGTGTTTGTTTATGTTAAAAATGATGTTGAAAACTTTAAGGCTGCTGAGGTCAGGGAGACCAGTTTGGTATTTATAATGGATCCCAGTTGTACAGACTGAGCATGATTTGGGTGAAGAAAAATTCAAAAGTGTAGAATTGGATATATTTATATTGGTAGCACTTCTTATTATTGTTCAGGGGGAAATATGATTCAAAGACTAGTAAACAGGCTAGGAATCCAAATACCATTTTTTTTTTCTATAGAAAATATCCCTCTGAGCTATAAAAAAGGACAAAAAATTGTCTTAAGAAATTAATTTGGCTGGGCGCAGTGGTGTATGCCTGTAATCCAGTGACTCAGGAAGCTGAGGCAGGGGGATTGCAAGCTCATAGCCAGTCTCAGCAACTTAGCGAGGCTCTAAGTGAGTTAGTGAGACCCTGTCTCAAAATAAAAAAATAAAAATAAAATTTAAAAAGGGCTGGGGATGTGGCTTAGTGTTAAGTACCTCTAGATTCAATTCCTGAGTATGGCGGCGGGGGTAGGGACCAACCAAACAAAAACAAAAACAAAACAAACAACCAAGAAATTAATTTTGGTATGTGACCCATATGAAATTTGATATTGCAAAATTTAATACCTGCGTGTGTGTGTGTGTGTGTGTGTGTGTATTTAACACTACCTTTAAAAATCTGTGCAACTTTAGAGAAAGTTTCTATTGTTTCTTCCTATGAACCCTTTATTCTTATCTTGACTCAAAAGACTGGCACTTTCTTGTTGACCCTTTCCATCAAGAGAAACAACTTGATATGTGGCCCCTTGTTTTCTGGCTTATTTTGAAGTTTCTCCAGCCCTCTTCAATTTCTTCTCTAGCATTTATTTATTATGTCTTAATTTAAAAAAATTGGAAGAAGAAAACTTAAGCCTCCAACAATGGTGATCATATTTAATGTCTATGTCTTTGTCTTTTTATTTCTTTTTGGATGGACTCATTCTGATCTTCCCCATATCCCTCTGTCCTCCATACTTGAAATATTCATTGCTCATCTGATGTGTCCATTCATATGTATATACAATGTATGCATCTCCTTCCTCCCTTCTTCATCTACCATCTATAAAAGTCTTGTTAGTCATCATCTTCAGAATTTGAGGGCATAACTATTGTCTCTTTAATGAAAGTCTCAGAATCCCTTAGAACTGAATTCTAAACTACGTATTTAACTTGGCTCTTCAGCCAAGCCAGGACACCCTCTTGGTTAAGCTTTATCAATTGTTCCAGTATTGATTCTCTATTAGTTAACTGGGCTCTAGAAAGGGTGGTGTTTTCAAAAGTTCTGAATTGCCCCTTTTGTTGTTGTTTAGTCTTTCAATATTAGTTAGGACTTAGATCAGCTATGAGTGAGGACAACCCCCAAGGACAACAGCTTAGCCAAGATAGATGTTTGTTTCTTATTTATTAATCTGGAGATAATAATCAAAGGTTAATTTGGATTGACATAGCGACAGGGACTCAAGCTGCTGCTGTCTGATGCTCCACTGTTTCTGACCTTCATTCCCAAGGTCACCTTATGTTCTTGGGTGGCAGTTCTAATTTGGCTATGTATATATTCTAGCTAGAAATAAAAAGAAAAAAGGGAGGTTAACAATACTACTCCTTTTTTTTTGAACCGGGGATTGAACTCAGGCGTACTCGACCACTAAGCCATATCCCCAGCCTTGTTTTGTATTTTATTAGATATAAGGTCTCACTGAGTTACTTAATGCCTCGATTTTGCTGAGGCTGGCTTTGAACTCTTGATCTCCTACCTCATCCTCCTGAGCTGCTGGGATTACAGGTGGGTACCACTGAACCCAACTTACTTCTTCCTCTTAAAAGGACAAATTAAGGCTCTCTGTCATTCTTAAAGGATGGTGGATAAAGGGTCTTCCTCCCTTTAAAAATTTATATTACAAAGTTTTTACATTAAAATAACATGCTTATGGGACTGGGGTTGTGGCTCAGTGGTAGACTGCTTGCCTAGCATGTGTGAGGCACTGGGTTCGATTCTCAGCACCACATATAAATAAATGAATAAAATAAAGTTCCATCAACATCCAAAAATATTTAAAAAATAACATGCTTATTTTAGAAATTTTAAGAGAAGTAAAAAAGCAAGAAGGAAAATAAAAGAGAATACTACTTTAAGATGATCATTATTTATTAACATTTTGCTATATTCCTCCAGACATTTTTAAATGCATTTGTGTGTGTGTTCTTTTTACAACATGCTGTACATACATATACATAATCTTTATAGTTTTAACTTGCAATGAGTTCATTGTATATATCCCATGCAATCAAGTATTTCTGACTACATCATTAGTGACAGATGTGCTTTATTGCACAGTGAGAATGAGCCACAGTTGATGTAACCAGTCTCAGTAGAAAACACTGACAGTGAAGTAAATGCTGTATTTTTCAGCATTTCAGGAAAATAGAGCCCTATGGTTACAAATTAGGGTATGAGCATTGAGGGCCAGAATTCAATGAGTCTAAATTCACCAGAACATCAGTCTTTTTTTTTTTTTTTTTTAGTGGATCTGGAACATTCTAGAATGTACAAATAAGCATTGTTCTCTTTAGAAGAGTTACTTCTATACAAGGCTATCTAAACCAAAACAAAACACTAGCCCCAGTGCTTCTGGTGTCAAGAGGGAAACCCTAATCCAGTTCCCACAATACCACCAAAAATGTCCCTTGATAATAGAAAGAAGTGGTTGACATTTATTTGTGTATCAGGCTAAAAAATTTGCACGGGAATTGAGGCCAACCCTTCCAATGTCTTTATTTCCTTCAGCAACATCTTGTCTCTAGATGGAATTCAGCTCCCTTTTAAAAGAACATGTCTTGGAATTTTCCCAAGCCATGAACATATCTTCTTGGTGAAGTTTATCACCTGGCCATACCAAGCTTCATGGAAGCCAAGGAACAGTGTCTTTATTTTGTACCAAGTCCCAAATTGGAAACCTTATAGGGATAGAAGAAGAAAAGTGGACATTGAGGGACAATAACACTCAGTAACCATAACCTTTTGGGTTAAATATCCAAGTTAATGATGTTTGTTAGACAAATCTTACCTTGGCTACCTATTGATGTATCTTTTCAACATATAAATGGCATTTTCCAAACTGAAGTTGCAGTATCTATTTTAATTGTGTAATAAATATCAGCCCTGTTGTGGATGTCACCAAGACAGTTCTGTTTCTTCTAGCTTTAGAAAGGCATTCAGAAGATGAACGGCCCAGATGAGACTTCAGAGCAGTGATTCTCCCGTGTGGTCTGGACCAGTGGCATCAGCATCCTGTGGGAGCTTGTTAGATAAGCAAATTCTCAGACCCACCCTAGACCCTCTGCGTCAGAAATCCTGGGAATAGGGCCCAACAATCTGTGTTTTAGCAAGTCTGACAGGTGACGCTACTGCATGCTCAAGTTGGAGAACCACAGTTGCATCCAAATCCTAAGGGCACTGTCCCAATCTAGCAGGCTAGACACAGTACCATGTGTCATCTGGTTTTCTTAGAGCTTTCTTGACAATGGAAATTCCCCAACAAATCTATTTGCCTAAGAAGGGAGGATGCTTTTCTCATAAACTTCAAATAGAAACCCCAAATCCCAAAGCCAAATAAATAAAAACAAGTATTTCTAGTCATATTTTGACTATAATCTACTTAAAAAAATTTTAAACTTTATTTGGAAATAATTTAAAATTTGTGGGCAAGCTATAAGAGGAAGAATAGTACAAAGAACATCCCTACCACCGTTTATTTAGGTGCACCTATTGTTGATATTTTCCCCATTTGATTTGTCACCTGTGGCACCCACACCCTTTTTGTGAACCATTTAAGGACAAGTTACTTATATCATGATCTATTTACTATTAAATACCTCAGTTCCTAAGAATAGAAATATTTTGTTAGTCAATCTTAGCACAGTTATTAGCTTCATTCCCTGTATCAGTGATATAGTACTCTTATGTCATCTGACATCTACATTTCAGTTTTTTCTATAGATCCTAAATACCTGTATGAAAGCATTTTTTCTCCTCTAGTACAAGATTTAGTCTTGGATTATATAACATATTTCATTGTCATGTTTCTTTAGTTTTCTTTCATCTGAAACATTTTGTAGACATATTTTGTCTTTCATGATTCTGGTATTTTAAAAGAACAGTCCTTTTTTTTTAAAAAAAATAATAGAATATTCTTCATTTTAGGTTTGTTGGCTGTTTCCTTGTGATTAGATTCAGGTGATGCCTTCTTGGTTGAAATAATCCTTCAGTGGAATTGCATCCCTCTCAGGGTGTCATTTCTGGAGTCACATACACATCCAATAATTTTGAACAAACAGAAGGTATTAGTCACAATTTATAACTTAAAACATGTGTATATGCCATCTTATTAATTTTCATTTTTTAAAGAAATAAGAGGCAATTCTAAAAGAAGAGCTTGCTTCCTCTTATTACTCAGTTTTCAAAAAACATTAGAATTATATTTGAAGACAATGGATTGCTTTGCTTCCATCTTGTAATTTTCTTGTCATTTGAAAGCAAGGCAGATGTTACCGGAAAAGAAAAAAAAAAAAAAAGAAAAAGAAAGGAAGGAGTACAAAAAAGAGAGATTCAGTGAATTCCTGTGGAATCTGCATGATTTAAAACTCTAGAAATAAGAAGTCCAAATGTGTCAATAAGAATAAGGAGTGGTGTGTTTTGGAGTGTTCAGGTTGGTGGAGTGGGGTTAAGTTCCATAGCTGGTGGAGACCCATGCAGGGGTTGCTCAAGTTGACCTTCCAAAAGGCCGAATATTGTTCATAGCTCTGAAAAGTCTAGTCGACTGGGTTTCTCACATTTCTGGTGAGAGCACCCCAATTTTTCTTTTGTCCAGTGTTTTCCTACATGGAAAATTACAGAGTGTTTTAAATAAGCCTTAAGCAGATCTGGAAGAATTTTGGAAAAAGTTTGGGCTTCTACAAAGCATATTAATTTGTTGAAAAACTGACTGGGCTTTGTTTCTTGAGGAAAGATACTTAGTATGCTGATGAAAAAATGCTATTGTTCTCAAATTAATGGAAAAATTTCCATATTTTGTCCTAACTCAAGACTTTGAAAGGCAGAACCAGTGAGGGAGTTGGCTGAGCACAAGGAGGTGCTTTTCTACCTTGGATTCGTAGCTAGAAATGTTAGGAAAGGGCCCCAATGGCACAGACCAGTCCTTTAGGAAAATTTTATTCTGTGCATCTCTCTGTTTTTTGCTTATACTGAAAGATAATAAAAATAGTTTGTGCTATATTAAAAATTAAAGAAATAGTCAGATAATTGAATAGATCCCCCTCCTCCACATAAGACTTACCTAAAGTACTTATTTTAGTTTAAAAAAAATTTTTTTTGGGGGGGTACCATGGGTTGAACTCAGGGGCACTCAATCACTGAGCCTCATCCCCAGCCCTATATTGTGTTTTATTTAGAGACAGGGTCTCACTGAGTTATTTAATGCCTTGCTGAGTTGCTGATGCTGGCTTTGAGCTCCAGATCTCTTGCCTTAGCCTCTGGAGCTGTTGGGATTATAGGCATATTCCACTGTGCCCTGCTAAAAAATTTATATATTTTGTTTAGATAAGTTTCTAGGGAGACAACCCCACATCTGGGTTTTCCCCTGAAGGCTCTCTAGGTTAGTACATACCCGTAGCCCGTGGGCGTTTTATTTGCCATCATGCAGGGGTCCTATGTATTATGATGGGCTTTCCCTGAGCGTGGGTGGATCCTGAGCTATTTACTCGAGCCCAGGGATATATGGGGATCTCTCTGCTCTTTTAGAACCAAAGTGTCTAGAGTAACTCTTGATGGTCTTGGGACATGCATAGGTTTGATACCTCCAGGATCTTTTGGAGGTGTCAAGGCTGTTGGTAGGGATCTTTGTGCCCCTTCTGCCACTGCCTTTCTCTGGGGCTGGGAACACTCAGAATTCTCCCCCCACCCTTGGCATCAGTCTTGTCCACTGAGCAGATTATCCCATTCATAGAAGTGAATCCATCCATCTTATGTACATGCTTTCTCCTCGTCCCTTTTTGCCTTTTCTGTAACATCTCACACCCCTCCTATCTCGGCAGGCTCTTTTCTTCCCTGTTGTTTCCAGCCACTCTCACATTCTGCTCACTTACAAGCACTTTGAGCTTTCCTTTCTTGCTGTAATGCAGAAGGGAGGGAGGGAGGGAGGGAGGGAGAGAGAGAGAGAGAGAAAGAATATCGTTGCTGCCAAGGCTCTTCTTTTACCCTCCAAGGAACACAGTATTCCAGAGGACACTCCAACCTCCTTGAAGCTCCACTCAGGCTGTTTCCAATTTATAGCATTTTAATAGTCCTGGCATTCTCAGAAGCTCCCTTTATCCATCTTTAATACAAATTATATTTCTGTCATTGATGTTGACAAATGTGCATAAGCACGTGGCTGGAGGGGCCACTAGATCTGGCCGACTGATTTCAGTACTTCACTTCTAAGTATTTGAAATATCCCAAAATAGTCATACCTCTCTCTGTTGCCTTCTCTTTAGAAAGCACTTTTTTTTCCCTTAGATTCTGTCTTATTTGATAACAGAGCAGAGAACTCAAAGCCTATAAAATCCTGCTGCCATCAGCAGAAATGAGGAACCCAGGGCTGTGGTCTGTTCAGCATCCTAATGTGTGTTTCCTTTTCTATGCAGGCTGGCTACATGTCTGGGATGCTGGTTCCTGTAGGAGTGGGGATAGCTGGAGCCTTGTTCATCTTGGGGGCACTCTACAGCATTAAGGTTATGAATCGCCAAAGGAGAAATGGCTTCAAAAGGCATAAAAGAAAGGTATGGAACCAACGAGAGCAAAACCTAATCAGTTTCAGAACATTCTTTGCTTATCTAATTTCCTTAATAAAGCACATAGGGTTTAATGGTGCACGAATGGTGTTGACGTGCCCAGTGGTTTGGATTAGCTGCTGCAGCTGCTGCCTCGCTTCATTGGTTAGTGTGTCTTTTAAAGTGGGCCTGTTTCTCAGCTTTGTTCTGTGGCAGAAAGAGTTTAATGTGTTTCTGTTTTCTTTCTCTAGCAGAGAGAATTCAACAGCATGCAAGATCGAGTAATGCTCTTAGCTGACAGTTCCGAAGATGAATTTTGAATTGGACTTGGGTTTAATTGGGACATTCAATGATGTTGTAATTTTGTTTTTATTTTGGGGGAAAAGAAGAAGAAGAAGAAGAAAGAAGAAGGAAAAACAACAACTTCTATTGCATTGCTGCTATCAGGCCGTCAGTTCTAGACCTGCTGGGTAGTAGATTTTTCTTGCACTGAGCAGAAAAGGCATGCTGTAAACTAAATGTAACACACAGTGTTTGGTTATTCTGTAGTGAACTTCCTGTAACAATGGGCTACAATTTATAAATACACAGCATAATGTTGTTCAGTAGAAATAGCTGGATTAGGTAGGGTAAATATTTTGTATTTTTCCACTGTCTTTTCCTTGACTTGGATTACTTGCATTAAGTGTGATGATTGTAGCCACCAAGGCATGCTCGACTTTGAAATTGAAATCTTAACAAAAAATAACTTCTCATAATCACACTCTACCTACCTGAGATTGTAGGCTTGGGGGCTATGGTACATCCTGCATTTGTATCAAAACCAGCGTCAGCTGAGAATGAATAAGAAAGATCTCAGCCCATTAGGAGTACATGTAGATTTGTACGTATCTAGCGTTGTGTACTTCAGTTTCCTAGTTTTATTGTTTTCATCTTTTGTTTTATTCTTATTCTTGGCAAGGAAAAAAATGCATCAGAAGTAATACATTAAATTGGCTTTTAATATATGTTTGCTTTCTTAAATAGTGTCATTAAGTCCAAGAACGTCTTACATGTTTATCATTATGAGATATTCTTTTTGTGTACTATTTGACTTTGCCAAAAAGAAATGAGGAAGAAATCTCTGCCCATTTGGCTTTGTGCTTGCATGACTACTACTATGAATAATTCAGAGTATTTATTTTCCACATCTGTGGTATTGGCTATGGAGAGAGTGGACCACCATTGGTACTTTTTTGGCTTTATTATAAAAACATACATTCTGTGGTAGAAGCAGGCTCAGCACCCAGATCCCTTGTACACAGTGGAACTCATGGGAAACCAGCTTCTCTCAGGACATCTCATCATGGGAATGATAAAATAACTGTTCAGATCATTTTTCATTTCCTTTGGAATATGATTCCCTGCCCTATACCAAAATAGGATATTAAAATTACCCTATTTGAATCTGGGCATTTGGGACTTGTAGTTAGTTGAATTTTGGGGGTAGAGATTGACTCATTTCCATGGAAGGATAAAGGTTAGTAACAATAATATTACTATGGAGAACTTGGTTGTATTCAATGAGCCTGTTCTACTATGTCAAGCTAGTTACAGGCATTCCACATAGCTACTGTTTTCATTTGACCAAAGATGGAACTGAAGCAGAGATGTGAACCAGTTATCCAAAGTTATATCCAGGAAGAATCAGCATGAGAACTTTCTTGGACTTAAAACCATGTGACATGTGCCCTTTTCACATACTTCAGAGGGAACAGTAACATTGCAGAATCCTTCTTTAAAACCAAGAGTGTAAGGAAATAGCTGCTTGGTGAAGGAGCATTTGTGCTTCTGTCTTTGTTGAATGAATGATGAATGATGCCTTACTAATTTCTCTTTCACACAAGTTCTTTCCTTCCATATAAATTTAAGTATCATCACTAAGGAACTAATAGCAAAAAATTTCCTAGAATCCATTCTTGAATGATAAATGGTTCACAAGAAGGCTTCATTCAGTAATTTCAACTTTTTGTCCAGAGAGGTAAACCAATGTGTGAAACTGATAGAAATGAAAAGTTTTGTAGAAACAAATAGAAGTTAGCCATTGACAGGGTGGCTAAAGGTTGGATTTTAAAAAATATCATTCAGAACCATGACACTTAAAAGTGATTTGTAATTTCATGAGCAGAGCCATCCTGATATTGCAGAAAGGATGTTCTCTTTTTCTGAAAGCAGCCTCTTATTATAAGTGTTCCTCAGGTTAAGTAAATAGGCATGGGGGGCATTGCTGTCTGTATTCTTGTTTATAGCAAATATGTAATAGTTTTACTTAATTTAGCAACAACACATGGGTGACACTGATGGTCACTAATGTCTGGGACTACTTACTCAATCTGTAGCGTTAACTTGTTGTAAAGTTCAAACTCTAGTATAATGAAGTCACAATAATAGACACCTAGTTTTGTTTTTCCATGAGGATGACATTCATGCGAGTGTAGGCAGAAGCAGAAGTGTCTCTGCAGCCTTTTTTGGGACACCCATCTATTAAAATAAGAGCTGACTTATAGTAGATTTATGTACCAACTGGTTTAAACATTTGGATAAATGAAAGGTGGTATAGATATAAATTGACTATGATTTAGTCTTAAAGGAAGGAAAACTATTAATAATGTGGATGAACTTAGAGAACAGCATGCTAGGTGAAATAAGCTAGTCACAGGGTAAATACTGCATGATTCTAATTATATGAAATGTCTAAAATATTCAAACTCATAGAAGCAGAGGTAGAACAGCGGTAGCCAGGAACTGGGGGAGGGAAAAATGGGGAGGTGTTAGTCAAGTGGTATAAAGTTTAAATTGTGCAAAATAAATAGCTTCTAGAGACCTGCAACATAGTGCCTATAGTTAACAATACTGTGTTGTGCACTTAAAATTTTAAGAGGCAGAGCTCACATTAATCATTTTTACCATAAGAAAGAGAGACAAGAGAAAGAAGGGCCCTGTGGCAAGAGACCTTTTCTTAGTCATGCTATCCAATATGTAACACCTGCCGTAGTGGTGAAAGGAAAACCAATGTCAAGAGAAAAGATGGAAGCTACTAGAAAAAGAATAGAAGGCTGGGGTGAAGAGAAAAGTGATTCTTCCTTACCCCTGATGTCTTTTTCTATAGTCAAAGACAATATTAGTCTTTTAAACATCTTTAATTTTTTTTTCTCTTCTGTAAGCTGTTTCTTTCAGTAGCTGCTGGCTTAATTTATATGCAATATTTGGAGTTAATTAGTATCCCAGGGTAACGGAGTCCCTTAGCAATGCCTTCGTCTTGGCTGCAGCTCAAATGTAGTTTTCCAGAAATACACTCTTAAAGTACCTGCATCTCTTTTGTGGGTAAAAAAAAAACGTGAGGAAAAATTAAAGCAAAGTTTTAGAAAAAAGTTAAGGGCATTGTGCATTGTCTTGTGGTATAGTCAACCCAAATTGGTTTTTCATCTCATTATTTTATTTTTGTGTGCTGTGAGGATTGAACCCAAGAACTTGTGCATGCTAGACAGGTGCTGGACCAACCACTGAGTTACATACCCAGCCCTCATATATATATATTTTTAAAGGCTTCAACTTAAAATTTAAAATGTTATGGAGATGAAAGCAATATGGAACAATATAATGCACTCTGAATGCCTAGTGCTTCCTGTCTCTGTGCTTCCAAATATCTCCTTCTTGTGGAAATTCAAACAAGACATCTTATTTGGAATCACATTCATAACTTGGGGGACAAGAATCCAAGCATCCAGACATCCTGATTTCTGTGGATGTGAATAATCAATGCTCCTACTAGCTTCCAAAAATGAAAACAAAAACAGTTTTTGGGAACAAGATATATTACTTAGCTTGAGCTTCAAGTTGTATGGCCTTTTGGTAAGACAGGCTTTGTTTTGAGCACAGAGACTCCTGAAGAGGCAGGATTACAATTGAAGAAAGGGTCTGTCCTTCTTCGGGTATGTGAGATTTAGGTGACAAGAAAAGACATATGAGGAAAAGAAGATGGAAGAAAAATGAAAATACAAAGCGGATATAAATATGGCACAGAAACATGAGACTGTCCTAGAGGAGGCTGAAGTTCTGAATAGAAAAATGATAAGCAAAGAGAAGAATGCAAATGAGGAAATTAATTAGCAGGGAAAGGGGCCATAGAGCTACACAAATCTATTTTTGCTTCCATCCCTTCCATCAAAGAAAATTACCTTACAACTGGGTGGAATTGAGTATGGTTGGGAAGAAATTGAAGTCCAAGATGAATGAGAAGATGAAAAGTGTGTGGTTACTTTAAATGAGCTTAAGCTCAGTTAATAACTTCCTTAATTACACAGACTTCAAATAACTGAATATAAACTTCAAGGAATAGGAAATAATTTGAAAACAAAGCAATTTTATTAACTTCATAAAGGTTCCATATTTGAACATTTGGCATCCCTATAAGACACACACCTCCTTTTTGAAGTAGCTATTAGACTGGTAAGATGTGGATGGACTAAGAATAGACATCTAAATACATTGCTCTGATAATTATAAACTTCAGCCATCAAAATGGCTGGAAATCTAATCCTGATGCTTGATTTCTACATGCAGAGAAGAACAACATCAAAATCACCATTTGTTTTGTAAGCTGATGTTACATAAATTCACTGGGAGTATGATATTTGAAGCAATAGGTCTATGTAAATCCCTATTAATTAACCCAAATTTTTATTATGAGCATAGAGGATAAAGAGAGAAAGAAAGAAAGAAAAGAAGGGAGGTGGGAGGGATGGAGGAGCAAAGAGGAGGGGAGAAATGTCCCCTACGAAATGGCAGCAAAAGTACAAAGAAAGAAATCGTCTCTTCGCTTGTTCTAGTTTTCTTAAAAGCACAAATATTGGTGCAAACTCTCAAATTTTCCACAGGAAAGCAAAGATCCTACTCTCCCTTCTTAAAAAGCAAAAGGAGCAGCAATACAACAATAATCACTAATAGTTTGTAACACAGAGTGCGAATTCTCACCACACCTAAGACTGCAGTCTCCAGACCTGAGATAAAAGACAGTTGTTTCTGAAAGGTGTAACCTTTTGTGTGAGAAGATGGAGGAATGGAGAGGAGTAGAAACAGAAGAATTGTCTGTTGGGAAGAAGTACTATCTTGTCTTTCTTCTCAAAGTTCATGGGTAGAAAAATAGTGCAAGCAAATGACAAGGGAGGTGCCCACTGGGTTACTTTATTACCTGGAAGGTGGAGAGGCCATCTGTTCTGGTCTCAAAAGAATAAACTGGGTATTGGGTCAAAAAATTGAGGGTTTTTTTTTTTAATGACCA